TAAAAGTAAGTTTTGGTCTATATATCAAGGATTTAATTGATTTGGACGTAGTACTGGGACGTAGAAGGCATTCGGCGGAAGTGAGCTGTGAACAGAGGACATCAATCAGTTAGAAAAGGATAAAAAGAAAAGGAAGGGTTAGAAAGTTAGTGATCTCACTTCTCTAAAAAATTTAAAAAATTTTTGAGAATACAATAAGATTTAAATTTTTTTTTTAAATTAAATCGTGGAAAATATCAACTAGGAATTTATACTGAAATAATAGACAGCAATTGAAAGAATATGTTTCTTCAGAAAGACAAAAGCAATCAGTTTCCATAATGTAACATTAGGCAGACCACGTGGGATAATGCTTGGGTGGTACTGATAGGCCCTTCTTGCCTTCTTCCGGGTATGATTCAAAACTTGTTTCTATGTTAAATTATACTTAGGTTTAATTTTTTTTTACTTTATAAACATGAAAATTAAATAAAAATTTAACATATTATATAAATAATAATTAAAAATTTTGTTTATCAAGTTATAGTACTAAACAAGAAAAAACTTTTCAATTTTGTTCATATAAATTGTTCAATTTTCATTTAAAATTTATATATGAAAAGTCAAAAAGTTAAAGTAAATCTATTGAAAATGAACAAATTAAGTACTAAATATAATATTAAAATTAACAAAATTAAACTCAATTTAAAAATCTGACCCAACTCATTTACTATGAGTCAGGTCATGGGTCTAAAATATTAATTCAAAATCTAACATGAGCCAAATCAAAATTATTCAAATCTAATCGAACTGAGTTAGGTTCCAATCAAGTTAACTTAAAGTGACACAATTGAAATTAATTAAATTTTTTAAATTTAAAATTTTAATTAATTATCCTTTTAATTTTATTTTTAAGCACCCATTCGATTTAACTCGTTTACTAGATCTATATAATATCGTTAAAGTTTTGATCAACTTACATTACATTATGTCTTATATACCAGTTATGGAAATGCTACATATATCCTCGTCCGTTACATATTTCGTTACACATACTCACTCTCCGTTGCTTTCCGTTAACTCCCAAATGCACCCAGTCCTGCTGGCCAGACAATGAAGCAAGACAATCTAAGACAAAGGCTACAGTTAGTGCAAACAAAACCTGCAATTGCCTCCAATGAAACTTGCAATTTTATCCTTTCATTTTCTTTCTCTCTCTGTCCCTCCATCGACACCAAATTTGGACATTTTCCCTTCTAATTTCTCTCTTTTACTGAGTTGCTACTAGGTCAATCAAAGGAACCTAGAAGCGCCTGCTAGGTTCAAAGGAACCCAAGCTATTGGGTTCCTAAATCCTTATTGTCAACCTCTAAATCCTTTCATTTTCTCTCCCCTTCCCCAACACCAGATCTGGGTTCCTTTGCAAGTTCCCACTTGCTCAACTTCATGTTTTGTACCAATGAAACTGACGATGATGAAGAAGAGGAAGATGAGAAGGAAGATGGATCTGGTGAGGACGTTGAACAGCAAGAAAGAGAAAGGAAAGGAGAGAGAGAGAAAGAAAGGGCTAGGCCAGGTTCATTTGAAGTTAATGGAAAGTAACAGAGAGTGAGTGTGTAACGTAGTATGTAACGGATGAGGGTATATGTATCATTATCCAATTAATAATTCGTAGCAAATAGTTTTTATTTTATCAACCCAATCATTAAATTTAAATTTAATATTTTCTATATGTAAATCATGCATACTAAATTAGAAAGTGAATGTGTATGGTATTTTCAGTTTTTGTTAGAAATCTGATAATATATTGGGCTGTATATTTTTATAGCAGTCTAATAGTATTCTGGGCTTTTTTTCTGAACTACCTCATAATAGTTGTATTGTGGGCTTGTTGGAACACAATAGATTGATCAAATTCGCACTTACATCCCAGCTGGTCTGGCAATGAGCGAAACCTTAGCTCATACCAAAATTCAAATCTCTGCAAAAGACATTTGTAAGATTTCCCCCCCTTTGTCCAAAAGTTCCCGTACGTTCCCAAAAAGAGAAACAAAAAATTGATTAATTTCAATTTTCTGATGAGTCAAGCCATACACACTGGATTTGAAACATTCATGAAAAATAAGCAATTGCATTTAGACTAACAGACAAGGGTTAGTACCTTAAATTCATATGAGTTAGATCACCTTACATTAGTGTAGGGCACACCACATCTTACTCTAGTCAATACTTTTTCCTATACTTTATATTTTATTAAATTAACTGTTATTTTAATACTTTATTTTTTTTATACATCTAATTATGGGTTATACAATAAGAGATAGCCTTCCTTATTTCCAATCTCTTTCCATCCGGCTCAATGTCTAAACTTGAGATCTTCAATTTAGAGTCTCAAGTTTTTAATCGTTGAGCTACCCCACTGAGGTTATTTTAATGCTCTATTGGACAATGATATATACACCTAACATAATTATATATTCCATTACATACTGACAGAAACTGTTAGTTTTAATGACATAATTAACAAAAATTATTAGTTTTAACGACACAATTAACAAAAATTGTTAACTTTAATGATATAAGTAACAAAGATTGTCAATGTGTAATGAGATGTGTAACTTTATAAGGTGTACCAATTATTTTCCTACTCTATTACATCCATATAAATCATTAAAACATAAAAATTTTAAATTAATTAAATATGTTTAACTATTTAGAAAGTGATATATGATGTGAAAATTAGGTTGTAAATTCGGCAATAAACTAGGTGACTTGCTGCATATATAGCTTGTTAACTTATATTTTTCATAATAATAATAATAATAATAATAATTCTTTTAATCTATCAACGACCTAAATAATTCAATAATAATTTTTTTCTAATAATAATAAAAAGTTTTGAATTTAAGTCGCATGATATACTAGTAAGATGGTTTAAAAGATGGAGAAAGTTACTTTTTATTGTACAATTTAAAATAAAATTAAAAAAAAAAAAAAAAAATCTCCCAATCCTACATCTTTCCAAATCTCTCTCCCTAATGAGTCCCTTTCTCCCAAACCCAGTCCTTATTGCTAACAAGATCATCATGAATAACTTGGAAATCCATGGCTCAACATCAGGGCTTAACAGGGGCAAAAAATGTAAACAAACCATGACCTCACTATCTGCCACTCTTAGTCCCTGCTTCATGCTACCCCATCGGTCGAGCACAAACTCTAAGGTCACGGTTTTGATCCGACTCAAGAGTTGGACTCTTCTAACACAATTCAGTTCGAACTCAATGAGTCAACCGAGCTCCAAGTTCATTGCCATTGGACCTGATTCTTTGCCTTCGGAAGCCAACGCACCGCGGTACTGGAGAAGAACGACGACCACATTCTGTGGCTAACTCAAAATTCAAAAGACATTTAGATTTAAGAAAAAAAAATATTTATCTCTAATTTAATATAGGAAAATTATCTGTAAGCCATCGGTTTAACATATTTTCTAACATATTTTCGGTTAAATTATTAAAAATATAATATAAATATAATTGATTCAATCGGTTCTTACCTCATGTATGCATTATTGTATTTTTAAATTTGTTTATCTTTAATTTTGAATTAAAAAATAATATTTTTTAATAATTAATGTGTTATGTAGTGCATTGAACAAAAATGTGTATCAATCACTGTCTTTTAATATATTATAAAATGCATTCAGTAAAAAAAATCATAATTTTTTTATTTGAAATTAAACACAAATAAATTTAAGATATATACATCTATACATACACCATACAGAAACTATTTGAATTATAGTTTTGAATTAATTATATTTTTATTATATTTTAATAACTAAGTTGAATAAGTATCGAAAAATGTATTAAACAAAAAAATATACTTATTTTTTTTTTTAATAATAAAAGATACATGTCTTGCCATGTAATTCGCTGC